CCTCAAATTGTTGTTTCAGAAAGTCCTGAAAAAAATATGTTAATGAACCTGCAGTTGATGAATTTGTTCTGCATCTTACACATCCCAGCAGAATCAGTCTTAGCCATTGCTTTCTGTGTTGTGTGGTTTACAGAATTAAACAATCAAATCAAGACTCTACAGCTGGATCTTCAGGAAAGGACATCTGAAAGGGATCGCTTGGAACAGGTGTTCACGTAAGTTCCTGCTGTTCTGTGTGAAACAATCAGGAGGCAAGCTGCTCAGGGACTTGCCTAGATTAAAAAAATGTATTTATATGAAAAGCGTTCCTCCTAGTGTCAGCAAACAGATTTGGCATTTGGGACTATTATTTTTTTTAATAGCAATCATTACATTTTTGGGGGTACTGTCCTTACGATTTCCGAGAAACATTTATAGCCTCCCTATGTTTTTGTGGTAGATACAGGGCGGTTCTAAAATCATCTTCTGAGCCAAAATATCGCAGGAACATGATAAGTGTTCATTACTAGTTCGAATTCCTTTTCGCAGTGCCTTGAACCTTATCTTCGTCCTCCTTAAGTGAAATTCTGATGTCTTTTTCTCTAGAAGAAAAAAAGTGTACCTGAATGGAAAGAAGCAGTTGGAAAATGGGTGGTTGGATACTGTATATACCCATACCCATATACCCAGTAAAGGACAGCAGTGTTATTGCCTTCTAGCCTGGTCTTATCAGATTTCGGAAGCTCAGTCAAGCCAGGCCTGGTCAGTACTGGAATAAGAGACCTCTCAGGAAACCCAGGGAAATTTATTGCAGAAAGCTGTGCTGGTGGATGAGCAGTGACCATGTTCCCCTCTGGACCAAAACTTCCTAACTATAGTAAATGTACGTAAGTCTGTTAACAGGAGACCATGTTCTGTAGGGGGTAAATCAACATCTTTGACTACTTGGTTGTTACAAGATCCCATGGCTCTGTTTGTAAGAGGAGGGGTGTTAACAGTGGTGTCAAAGATTTCCCCTAAATTCATCTGTTGAAGCAGTTCTCGACCTGACCTGCTGAACACTGGGGCCGCTGCGTGTAATGCCTGCCATGTGTAACTCAGGGGCTTGCTGCAAAGTAAAACTCTTTCAGATCTTTTAGGGTGAAAAACGCAATAGAAAGGTGAGGAATTATTGTTAGGAGTTCCCTTTCGCAATTTATCACTCTGCAGTTATGAGCGCTGCCTGTATCACCACCCCACAAATCACTGTGATAGAACACAATGAGCGGCGGTCTTATTCACATCAAACACAACAGTTAAATTGGTTTACATATCACAGTATATCTTCAAACAGTGTGCCTGCCTTGTAATTCATAACCATTCATTTTGGTTACTCTCTTGGCATATTATAATTAGCAATTCTTAAAGCTGGGAATTCAAGGTGTTTTTTATTGATTCCTTAATTTATGGCTTGCATGTCATTCAGTTCTTGAATACAGTTCAGTCATCCTTCCCAGTCCTTTTCAATTAACAAATACTATTGACACTAAAATGTTTTCTTGGTATTTTAAAGTGTGTATTCTGAGTCTTTTTTTTCTTCGATTTTGTTGATTTCACGCATATCATTTATCTGCTCCCCTACTGCTTTTCTGGTTGTTATTGACTATGTTTCTACAACATTGGAGGCTGTGCCTGAAGTATCAACATTGAAATTCTGCACTACCATGGTAAAACTATCAGGCACCTGATAAAACCTTAAATTAAATCAGCTGTCCAGAATGACACACATGTTTGTTCAATGGATAAAAAAGAAAGTTAATAGCCAAGGAAAAGAGCTAAAGTTATTTTTTAGTATATATAGGGATCTGATGCATATACTGTATATAGTCATTTTTAAAACATGTACAGTATATAGTCATTTTTAAAAAGGAATTTGTTCTATCAATTTTAATGAACTGATGACAAAACAAACCTGTCCATACTGTAGATATATTAGTGTAGCTCTAGAGGCTTAAACAGATTTGT